CCCCCCCCAGCGCCTCCGCTCGGCCGGGGCTGCGGGAGCAGAGCCCCGTTCCCGGCAGCCGCGTCCGGGTGCGTGACAACCCCGTCCAGCCCTTGTGCAATCGCAGCGTGGCAGAGCTAGAGCTTGGAGAGCAGCAACGGTTCATCTGAACATCTGCCTTCTTAACTAGGATACTTAATAAATCCATTATATGCTTTTTTTTTTTTGCTTTGGTTTTGGACAGGTTATAAATGTTCCTCAGCTGCTTAAAATAATTCCAGTAATTTCCATGGGATCAGGCTGGTTTTAAATGGAGGAGGATCTGCTCCAACATAGATTTATGAAACATCGGTCAACGGGCAGAGAGTTCCATGCAAAGCGATGCTGTGCTGAACATTTCTCCTGTCCCAGCCCTGGTGTGCTGTGGTCACGGTGCTGCTGCACCCCTCACCCTGCACCCCGTGCACACCTCGCTGCTTCCACTCATCCTGCCATCACAGACACTTTCAGAGCACGTTAGAGCCACCTCTGTTTAAAAAACATTGCCACCGAAAGGAGCACTTCTGAAGGGCCGACGTTATTATTCAAATTGATGCTGAGGATGATGTAAAGAAGGGAGCGTGTTCAACAGCTCTTCACTGATCTTTATACAACAACTTCTATCAGCCTCATTATGCTGTTTATACAAACACAGGAAGGTGCCATCCCAGTTGGTATTGCACTATTCATTGGAACTACAACTTTCAGAAAGAAGTTTTAAAGGCCAAAACAGAAACCTGGTCTTAATGTATATCACAGCATTATTTTCTTTTCTGAGGTCCATTGGATTTATAATTATCAATCCATTCTAACCTTTCCAACCATTTTGTAGACTACATTTATCAATGTATTTAATCAATGCCATACTTTACACTGCTCTTTTGCTGTCAGGTTTCACAAATAACCACTGTCTTAACACAATGAAAATGGACTGCATCTGGCATAAACCCACCTGAAATTAATTCCAGGGAGGTGCCAGCCAAGGGAAGGGGTGGTCAGTGCAAGGACACAATGTACAAACAGCTGCCCCCACATAGGTTTGATCCAATAGGTTTGGGGCATGTGCTAAACTGGAGGCTTTGTCTCAAGTTTGATTAATATGAAATTGTGATCTTCTTTAATCAACACAAAATACACGTTTTTAAGATATTTGGATGAGAGGAGGCTGGAAAGTAGGAATGAGAAGAAAACTTTGTGACAGCCATGCCTCTGTGTCTTCACAGACAGGAGTCATTTCTCTGTTCTGTTCTTTCTTTCTGGTTCAGCAATAGGCAAACCAAGAATGTCAGCAGCAAATATCTCGGCTGTGATTTCCTCTGGAATTTGTTCTTCAGACAGGGCTGCTGCACCTGGAGAGCAGTAACACCACCACAACACACACAACAGCAGTGTAAAAATGAATTTCCAGATCAGTAAAATTTATAAGCAGCAGTAAGTGGGTGGAATGCTTTTAAAGATGTATGAAGTAATAATGAAAAAGTACTGGTTTAATAGCTTAGCACTTCATGCACTCATATTAGGGGCCAAATCTGCAAGGCCATGAGTCTCACCTTGCAGGAGTTTCCTGCCTCAGAAGGGTCAAGGGCTAAATGCAACTTTACGCTCTGCTGATTTGATGTGATTTTAGGATCCCAAGGAATCTGGGGATTCCAAAGCCAGTTTGTAACATGAGGCAGGTCCCTTCAGGAGCTGAACCTTGGCTGCATGTGTCCCATTGGCAACAACTAGATGTCGTTCTGGACTGGTGTGGACTGGGACATGAATTGTACAAAAGGGTGGCACTTCCCAATGGTTCCAGCTGCAAAGGGCAATGCCAATTGGCTGAAATCAATGCTCTAATTTGCTCTTCTAGACTGGTGTGGAGAGGGACATAATTGTAGATGAATGTGGTGGTTACCAGCAGCTCCCTTCAGTGGGCATCACTGCTTAGGTAAATTTAACACTTTAATTTGCATCTTGTAGGATTTCTTTTTGCCAGTGGAGTTCAGCACGTAAACCTTCCAGTGTGTCTTTCTAATTTCAGTTCCAGGCCAGCAGATAAACAGCAATGCAATCTTGTCAGGTCCCAGTTACCTTTCACTGCCCATTTATTCTCAGATACACACCCATGCAATTGCTGCATGGATGAAGGACAATCTATAGCTCTGTGACTATTTTTGCAATCCTGTCTGAACATTTTTGACAGCTCCTGGCCTAACAGGGTAATGGGTTTGCAATTTAAATTATTCTGTTTGGGAACTGAAGCAATCCTGCTTCTGCACTGTGTGGAATGCTAATCCTGTACCTGAGGGATCGTAGGTGTCCGGTTCAGATCCTTCTCCCTCAGGATGCCTGCCCAGCAGGGTGGTGAGACACTGCACCAGCTCATCCTCCGTCATACACTCTCCTGCACACAGCAAAGCAAAACCAGCCTCTTAGGTTATGGTGCCGTTGGCACAAAATCTAGAAGGCGACTGGAACAAGAACAGTGTACAAACAAAACAGGACTGTTTGAAAGAGGATTTGGCTTATCTGAGATGGAGAGATACACGGCACCAACCAAAATGTGTGATCCCAACATAGGAAAATGTTGATCCTAAGGAAAACTGTTCTTGCATATTGCACTTTGGGCAAAAATATTTATTAAAGAGAGAAATTCTGATCCAGATGGCTCTTTAGGCTACATTGCACTTGGAGGGGCTTGAAGAATTCCTGGCACAGGACAGACCCCAGTCCTTGACACCCTGTGCCCATGGCTGTAGCCATTTCCTCACAGAGGAAGAGGGAAGTGCAGGAAAGCTTTGATCTAGTATCCTGGAATAACCTGGACATAGTGCTTACTCCTGGTTGGTGGTTGGCTCATGCCCTGAAGCATAAAGTTATGGATCTGTTATGAAACTGCTCTATCTGATGTATCTATTTATGGATTCTCACACCATCCATATAAATAACTAACCTTTCTCACACCAGTTGAACCCTTGGTTTCCAGGGATGTTTGTGGCAAGAAGTTTTGCCAGGTGATGTCCTGTGTAAAAAGGCATTTCCCTTTACCTGTTTTAATGCTCAGCTGCACTAAATTCTCCCTGGTTCTACAAGAAGAACGAGGCAGTGGAAGTTTATTGTACCTCTCCAGGGCATTGGCCATAACCGTATTTATACATGTCTTTACAGAGCTCCCTCTCATTCAGCTAAACCATCCCCTTTTTTCAGCCTTTCACACATGGATTCAGTCCAGGACTAACCAATTTCATCCCTTCCTCCCTGTCCACCTCTTTATACTGCCTTTCTGGAGGCTGTGTGACTGACTGGAAGAGAGAACAATTATTCAGACAAGGGTATACTGGAAGGATGATACAATTTGCCAAGATCCATACTCATCATCTAACAGACAAGATACTTCAGGCCAGCAAAAATTTCCAGAACAGTAAAAGAAGCACAACTGAGACAATAGATGTGATTATTCAATTTAAAATTCTAAGACAGGTCGCTCCACATGCCTGCCCTGGTTACCAAGCTATAGCTCCAGATTAATTTTTTGCTGCAGTGAATATGTTCTGAAATTGAAGGCAGAACTAGCAAGCATAAAACTATTATTAGAAAAGAAATAACTCACCTCTGTGCTGAAGCAGCAACAGTAAGTCTCCTCTGTCAATAACTTTGTCTCCGTTCTCATTACCATAACCAAGAACCCGAAACGCCTGTTGTATTTGTTTCATTGACAAGCCAAATGCAGGGCGATGATTTATGTAAAGTTTGATAAAATCCTCTAAATTGATTTCTGTCACTTGTTCTCCAGTATCCACATACTTGCTGAATTTTACTTCATTTATCATTTCTTCAACCTAAAGAGCAAGACAAAACAGATTGTTACAGGTTTCCTTTTCAAGGGGCACATGGCCAGGTTCTGATCCCGAATGCACGTGCCATCATCGTGCACCTCCTGGTACCATGGCCCCCAGCACCACAATAATCAAACACTCAGCAGCTGAGGATGGACATGGCTGATGGTTACACAGCTGCTGTTACGATGATTTTTGGTAAAGACAGGGGTAGCAGATCTGTAGCAATTTTGGATTTCCTCTTTTTTCTCACAACAGGCACTTAGGTGACTTTGCAGCTGCTACCGGTACCTTTGCTGCAGCTGTGCCTGCTCTGGGGACAGTGGGCAGGCAAACCACAGACCAGTAAATACATCACCCTGCTACAGAAGCATGTGCACGAGAGTCCTGACATAACCAGGCTGCACACACTGTCTATATACACCCTGGCATCAGCAATCCTTCCCCCACCCACCCAACATGTGCCTGGTGCAGCTCTGCCTCTGCACAAGCCAAATCTGAAACTGGCTCAAGGGGCTGTTGCCCTGCACGGCTGCATCACCC